GACCGTCCACGCCGCCCAGCGTCCAGCGCTGCAGGCCGGAGCCGCCGCCGCCGCTGGCGCCGCCGCCGCAGCCGCCCTCGGCGTGCCGCGGCGTGGGCGGCTGCCACGCCCCGGTGAAGAGCGCTCTGAAGAAGCGGGAGGCCGCCGCCAGCACCACCCTGCAGCAGCAGAACCAAGCGGATGATTATCGCTGCGCTCTGGGCAGCCCGGTCCAGGCAGGCAGCGGCAGGTCTGGCTGCTGGTGCAGCTGCTGGCTGCCGCGCCATGGCGTTGGCGTCGCCGCCGTGGCCGCGGGCGGGTGGTGGGCGGGACAAACAAACACCTGTGTGCTTGAATGCAGGTCCCGTCACTGGTGTGTAGCTCCACATCACACAGCGAGCCCTCCAGCCAGAGAGTGTAGAGGCCCGAATTGCGGTCGAGCTCGACCGAGAGCTGGGAGCTGGGAGAGCCGTGCATCTCGGGGGGTGATCAGGAGGCAACCATTTGGTTGAGAGAGTAGGAGAATGGCGCCATGGGGAGCCGGATGGATCGCCAGTCGGTGACCTGGAGGCGCCAAAACTTTCAGGAAGCAGGCCATCGGCGGCCCATGCGCTCGATGCACCTCCATTCAGCGACACCAGACCCACGCCCCGAGCTTACAGAATGGGTTCTGCAAGAGCCCTAGCTTCTCGGCTGCCCGTCCTACTGCTGCTGCTCGCGCTGCGCTCTTTGGCTGGCGCGCTGCATGATCATGGAGTCAACACTGCGACACAGGGGCTGAACAACCCCGGCGAGGAGGGTGCCGAGGGCGGCGGCGCCGCTGGCGACAACGGGTTCGTCGCCGGCAAGCTGCGCTTCCGGACGGATGGCACGTTCAAGATTCTGCAGCTAACGGATCTGCACTACGGCGAGAGCGCAGTGCTGGATCACCAGAGTGACGAGGCAAGCCTGGCAGCAGCAAGCGTTCTCCGCCCGCGTCTCAACCGCCGCCAGCGAAGTGCGGCATCCAGGCCGCCCCGCCTGCTCTCTGCGGTGCAGGTGCAGAAGACGGTGCTGGCGGCAGAGCGGCCCGACCTTGTGGTGTTCAGCGGCGACATGGTGAGCGGCTGGGTGTGCCGGCCCTCCGACCCGCGCGCGCCCGACTGCGGGCCCGGCTGGTTCGAGAGGCGCTGGCGCCAGCTCATCGCGCCCGTGCATGCCGCGGGCCTCCCCTACGCCGTCACCCTGGGCAACCACGAGTGAGTAGAGCGCCGGGGCGCATGCGCGCATGCGTCTGCGCGCTCCAGGGCACCAGCGCCGCATGCCCCTGCATGCCCGACATGTTGCGTTGCTGCCAGCATCCCGCCCGCCACCCCCTCAGCTGCCGCCGCCGTGTGCCGCCGCCACTGGCGCAGCGGGGAGGCGGAGCTGACTCGGCGCCAGATCCTGGACCTCGACATCCGGACAGGGGGCGTGTGGAGCTTGACCAGGCAGGGCCCTCCCGAGGCCAGCGACGCCAGCAACTACTACCTCGATGTGTATCCAGCCATGCCGCCCGCCCATGCGCCCATCACGTGCCACGGCGCCGGCTGCGCCGCCGCGGGTGCTGGCGATGGCGGCGCCGCGGCCCGCGTGTGGCTGCTGGACTCCGGCGACCGCACCTGCCCGCCCCTCATGTTTGGATGGTGCGCCCGGCCAGCGCCCACACCCCGCTGCCGCTGCTCGTGTGCACTGCGCCTCGCTGCCTCTTGCCTGCTGCCACAGTTCGAGTGCTCCCCTGAAGCGCCCCCTGCCCTGCCTTGCCTGGCGCAGGGGGTGCGTGGCGGAGGACACGCTGGGCTGGGTGAACCGCACTGCACATCACCTCTCCCCAGCCCCATCCCTCGCTTTCGTCCACATCCCCGTCCCTCAGGTGTGCGCCCCCCGTTTGCATGCCCCCCCATCTGCCCCTTTTGGCCGGCCTGGGCTGCCGGAGCCCGCAGCCCAGACCACCCAGCGCTGCGCCGTCGGGGGTGACCGTGGGGAGTCGCTGGCCGGCTGTGTGCAGTTTCAAGACGTGTGGTGGGATGCGCCCACCAGGGGGCGCAAGCTTGAAGACGTGGCGTGCTCGGTGCGGGACACAGGCCTGCTGGGTGTGGCCAAGTGAGTGAGGGGCGTGCATGACCGGTGGGTCAGGTGTCAGTGCACCTGTTGAGCCGCGGGCTTTGCTTTGTTCTGCTCTGCTCTGTTCGGATCTGATCTGATCTGCTCATGCCTGACCGCACCGTGTGCGCAGGCATGCGGGCATCAGCGCCGTCTACAGCGGCCACGACCACGACAATGACTACCTTGGGGTGAAGGAGGGCGTCAGGTGGGGAGTGCTGAGCGGCACCCAGGGCTGGCTTCTGGACGTGCTGATCAGGGCCTCTGTAGTGGTCGCCCCTTGCCCCAGGTTGGCTTACGGGAGGAAGAGCGGATGGGGCGGCTACGGGCCTCCGCAGGGCTGGCTGCGGGGAGCCAGGGTCATTGAGCTGCGGATGGGGCAAGACACGGCGCACAGGTGAGGTGCCATGGAGCTCCTCGCAAAACAGCTGCCAGCGGTGGGAGCCCCTAGCAGGACTGTTGGCCAGCAGCGGTCATGTGCGCGGCAGCCAAGTGAGCAGCTGCCCCGCCGCCTCTGTCGCTGCAGTGAGACCTGGATCAGGCAGGAGGATGGCACCAAAGTCTTTCAGAGACCCAGGCAAGCGCGCTGCCGCCTGCCCCGTCAGATGTGCCGCTTCGCCCCAGTTGAGTGCGCCTGGTTGCGCATGCTGCCCCCGCCTGCCCCTTTGCTTGCAGCACCCAGGCCAAAGACATGCGCCAGCTCATCTGCCACTGCGATGAGTTCGAGCAGGCACTGGAGCACCACAGGCAGCAGCAGGACAAGGCGCAGCTGCGGTGACGGGGCACGGCGTGCGCGCTGTGTTGAGCTCCCATCATTTTAGCCTCTCCTGCCGGTATTACCCTGCTGCAATCATTCGCTACTTGTGAATCCTCTAGAGAATCCAGCAGGCTTCGCAGGCGGTTTCTTTGGCAGAACCCCACGCGATCGCAGACTCTGAGCCACACCAGCTGGGTTTCCGCAATGCACAGTGCTGTGCGCCACCATCTCAGCCCATGCGCGGGCAATGCGCGGGCCCAGCAGCGGGCGATGCCCACCGCCAGGAACCCCCGCCCTGCCGCCGTACTAGCGCGGCTTGCTGAGCTGCAGCCGGCGTGCAGCAGGGCGCTGGCAGCGGCTGGCATGGCCTCGCTGCTCCTACTGGGCAGCGGCTCGCCAGCCAGTGCGCGGCAGCCACCCATTCAGGAGGAGGCGGGCCGGTGCTCCATCGAGGCGCTCGACAAGTTTGCGGGTGTGGCTGCCTGGCTGGCAGCACGATGGCCGCTCCCCAGCTCCAGTCCTATTGTCCACCACAATCCCTTGCCCCCGGACGTCATGTGTCACTCACACCTGCCGCCGTCTGTGTTGCAGACACTCGCGCCACCTTCAGCCTGGAGGCGTCGGGCGGCAACATGACAGAGGCAACCGTGGACATCCGGGAGTGCGACTTCTCAAACCTGGACCTGTCTGGCAAGGTCCTGAGCGGCGTGCGCATGCAGGTGCGAGGCGAGAGCGCGGCCTGGGGGGCTGGGCACGACGGCTCCCCTCTGCGGCTGGTCAGCCATGCCTCTGTTGGCAGACGAGGGCGGCTGTTGCGAGCCCCCACCCGCGTGGCCCCCCATGCCCGCCCCACCACGCAGGGCTCCAACTTTGCCGGCTCCAAGCTGGTGGGCTCGCAGTTTGCGCGGGCGCAGGCCCAGGGCGCCAACCTGCGGGGGGTGGACCTGACGGATGTCAATTCCTTTGCCACCGCCTTTGACGGCGCCGACCTGGAAGGGGCGCAGTTTGAGAACTCGGTGCTGTCGAACGCCACCTTTGGGCAGTACGAGGGGCGGTGAGCCGGGCTGCTGGGACGCAGCGGGGAGGAAGATGTGTCGGGTGGCTGTGGGCCGGCAGACGGGGTGCAGGGCCGCTGCGGGCCGCTGCTGAGGCTCCATATTGGCGCTGGCGCTGCTGCAGGTGGGCCAACCTCAAGGGGGCGCACTTTGAAGGTGAGGCGGCTGGTGCAGGGCGTGCCCAGCTGCCCGTACTTGGCAATGTGCAGCCCCTGACGTGCACTGCCCTTGTGCCTGCTGCCGGCATCTCGCGCAGGCGCCCTGCTCAGCAGCTCTGATGTCGGCCGGGTGTGTGCCAACCCCACGCTGGACGAGTACACGCGCAAGGCGGAGCTGGGGTGCCGAGGCTCCCGGTGAGCGAGAGAGAGGGGTGCCAGCGGCCAAAGGCGGCTGCCACGGGACTGGTGCCGCCCGCAGCATTCCCCACCCTGGTGGCGGCTGCTTTCTCTGTGCTTCCCACTTGGCTGTCTGGCATCTGTCACTCTCAAAACTTTCAGAGTTCTTGCACTGGTGTCTTCATCTGAAATTTGTGCCCGCCGTCTTGTATTGCCACCTCGTCCCGCCGGGAGCCAGTGCTCTCCCACGCAAACCCGCGGCCTGAAAATGGCTGGCGCCCTGCGCGCATGGTCTCCCGCTTTATTATTTTGTTACTTCGAAAGCCGCGTCCCCCTGCAAGCAAACACTCACTCCGCTCGAGTCACCTTTCGCTGAGCGAATTCGGAGGGCGCAGCGCCCTGGCGCCCTGATCATGAGCCGCGAGAGGCTCTTAGTGCTTGGTTTCATCACACTGACGCTGCAATGCGCAGGTGAGGCGCAAATCGCCATCAGATCCTGTCTTTGAACATTGGATCCCTTTGCTCACCTACAACCAAACCAGCTTGCAAGCCCCGGGAGGACGAGCGATCGACGCCTGGAGGCGCCCCATGCAGTTCTCTGGACCCCGCCCAGCAGCCACTCACCGCATGCCGCCCCCTGCCGCCCCCAACTCCTGCTACAGGAGCGGCCGCCGCCGCCTTGTGTCCCATGGTGGGCTGCAAGCGGTGCAACCCGGTCTCTGGGTGTTTAGAATGGTGAGGATGCTGCGGGCCAAAGCAAGCTGCAGATGGCAAGCTGCGCACAGCATGGAGTTCATCCTCCCCGAGCCGCCGCTGTTCCCCAGACTTTTCACTCGCCCCTGCGCTGCAGCCTGGGCGGGTTCCTGATTGTGAAGAACAACAGCGGCACATCCAAGTGCCGCCGCCGCCCCGTTGCGTCTCCCCCTCCACCCCAGCGCATCCAACAAAAGCCGGTCCCCTCCCCGGTGTATGCGGGCTCAGCCGCGCCCTACTCAGCAGCACTCACCTCCGCCTCCAAGCTGGCCTGCGGCTACCCGGTGCTCAGCCCATGGCAGGGCACAAACTTTGCCGCCATCAACGCGGCGCAGGCAAGCATGCCGCCAGCAAGGGCATGGAGGGGCCTGCCGCGCCAGAGTGCGGCAGTGGTGTCATGCCGCGCATCTGCTAGCACTCTAGCAAGTATCGGGGGGCTGCCACTTGGACGCGCCTGTGTGACGGCCCTGCCTCTTCCCCTGCCTTGCAGTGGGACGGTGGCAGCCAGTGCGGGCGGTGCGGCACGGTGCGGTGCACAGATGCGCGGTGCCAGAAGGTGGAGGCGGTCCCGGTGGTCTTCCTAGACCTGTGAGCTGCTCGGAGGGAGGCTGGGAGGAGGGCCTCACAGGAATGGGCGCCCAGTTGCTGCTGCCCTGCTCCCTGACCTTCTCCGCTGGTGGCTCCCACCTACTCCGGACGCCGCTTGGGCAGGCCAGCAGCTGCTAGAGCGGTGCGGCATCCGCACCACATGCCCGCCGCCCCTGTCCCCCCACCGCTGCCGCCTGCGTCCTCCCGGCGCTGCGCGTGCAGGTGCGCGGACTGCAAGTACGGGGAGATCGACCTGAGCGACGACGCCTTCCTGGCAGCTTCCGGCGGCCTCATGGCCTTTGACCGCCTGACGGTGCAGTGGAACTTCTCGGAGACGTGTGCGCCCTTCACCGCCGGAGGGATCCGGCTGGACCCCCGGTCCGTCAACCCCTGGAGGCAGGAGCTCTACTTGTACAACGCCGCCGAAAGCATCGCCGCCGCGGAGCTGGATGGCAGGCAGCTGTCGCTGGCGGGGTGAGCTGGGCTAGGCTGGGCCGTGGCCTCCCAGGCCCTGCCTTGGCCTGCCCCCTGCACACTTGGCGCCACCGCCGGAGTTGCTGAGGGCGGCGGCGCTGCTTGCACAGGCCTGCGGCCCAGTCGTTTGCTAGGCAGGGGTTTGCCGGCATCACCTGCACATGCCGCCTGCGTGCCTGCAGGCGCGGCTTCTGGGTCAGCGACACCTCCGCCTCTCCCGTCTACCCCAGCACCCTGCACACCCTTGTTGTCACCAGCGACCAGGGCACCAAGGCCAGCGTCATACTGCGGGACCTGGGCCAGAGCCGAGAGCTGCCAGTGCAGTTTGGCAGCGGCAATGGGTGGCTGCTGCCAAAGCCCAGCCCGCCGCCGCCCTCCCCGTCGCCGTCGCCCTCCCCGCCACCGCCCTCGCCGCGGCCCTCGCCGCCGCCTCCCATTCGCCGCCCGCCGTCCCCACCTCCTCGCTCGCCTCCTCCGTCCCCACCTCCTCCATCCCCACCTCCTCCCCCGCCTCGGCCCCCACCCTCACCATCCCCGAACAGCGGCGGGCCCATCCCCATCGGCAGCGTGTACAGCGGCCAGGCAACAGCCTACTCGCCTCCCGTCACCAGCGGCAACAACTTTGCCTGCGCCTACCCGGTGCTCAGCCCCTGGCAGCGAGTCTACTTTGTGGCCATCAGCCTGCCACAGGCATGCGCCGGTGCTGGCAGCCTGCTGCTTTGCATGCGCCGGCGCACGCTCTGTTGCAGTGGTTGGCAGTGCTGCGGTGCGGCCTTGCAGCCCTTCAGCCGGCCGTTGGCCCGAACCCCCTGCTGCAGTGGGATGGCGCCAAGCAGTGCGGGCGGTGCGTGATGGCCAAGTGTGTGGACTCCAGGTGCAGAGTTCGGAATAAATATGTGGTGGCGCAAGTCATGGACCAGTGAGTGGGCGCCAGCTGGCGCAAGCTGCCTCCAGCTGCTTGCCCGCCGCCGGCCCGCTGCGCCCGCCTGCCAAGAATGCTTGCCCCTCTGCCTGCCTGGCACCGAGGCGCGAGCGGCGCACCCGCGCTGCCCGCCCTGTATCCCCTCTGTAGTACAGCACGCTCAGGTAACGGCTGCCCGCCCTCTCGCCCGCAGGTGCGCCACCTGGGACTGCAAGCTTGGCAACCTTGATTTCAGCAACCAGGCCTTCCTGGAGCTCACGGGGCTGTCCCCCGACCGCTCAAGATCGAGTGC